CCCCAACAGGCACAAGAAGCACTGATTCACTCCAGAAGGCACCATCCTACACGATCTGAAAGTGTCAATGTCTTAAGGTGCATTTTAAACAAGTGTGTCCTGTAAAAGCTGGACCCAGGCCAAAAATGGGACTGCAGAGGTCAACACCTAAGGCAGCAAGTTAATAAGTCTTACGTTTTCCCTCACCCCTCATTTTTTTCTAAGCAGTACACAGGCAGCAGACTGACACAACAGCAGATCCTGACTGGAGAGCAGCAAATATTTTGAGGCAAATTAATATTGCTCAGACTAACAGAGAAAAGCCTCAAAAAACCCGAGAGAACACTTATGCTCTTGGGGATCAAACCCTAATATAGTATGTGCTATAAAGACAAAGCTCTGTGCACAATGCTACCTGTGAGTTCAGAAAATAACAATCAAGCCACTTCTGCTGAAGTAGAGGAGTTCAAAATGGTCAGAGTTATTTAAACTTCACCAAATAATACTTAAAAGGAATCCAGGACTAAAAAATGAAATATCTTGGGATGGGGAAATATGAAGCAAAGGAAAGTAAATGTACTTTCAAAATGAAAAGAAACTTTATAAGGAGAATGCTAATTTTCATGTAAAAGCATTACAAGAGATTTGACTACAGTGATTATTTTCTAGGTCAGAGACAGTTCTTAAGAAATTAAAAGCTGAATAAAAGAACCTGATGTGGTAACTGTAGGAGACAGAATAATCCAAAGCCACTCTTCTGGCTGAAAATCCTTAAAAAGGATTCAAATCTTTCACTCATCATGAAAGCTCTCAGTTCCTTGCTTCTTCTGCATCCATCTTCTGCATCAGTGCAAAAGGGAAGTCCCTATCCTTAATGAAGTCAGAACACAAAACAAAACTGGAAATACTTTTTGTGGTCTTGCCAAAAACACCGACTTGACCCAGACAGGTGGACACCTGCAGTTTTGCAATGTGGTGCCCTGCACAGAACACCATCTGCATATAAGTCTTTGGAAAAGACATGATTGTCCAAATGTCTCTGCCAGTTAAGGGACATATCCTTCCAGCTCAAAGGAAACTCAAGCTCATTCAAAAACAAATTCTGTGGAAGACTCACGGACTCAAATCAGTTACAGCCTCCACAGAGAAAGAGATTTATTCAATCCAGTGAAAAACCACTCATCACTGAGTCACACAGCTTGATCCATTGACACAGAAAAGATATACCAGGGATTAGCAACTAACCAGTTAACGAATACATATTTTTAGGAGATCAGCTTGTCCTAGTTCAGACTACCTCTGGTGCTAAAAAAAGAACTCCAAACCTTGCTCCCAGTAGCACCACAAATCACGCCGGGTATGTCCTCACACACGAGCAGGGAACACTGCGCTACCAACACTACTCGCCCGTTTCACTTCCACCCCGTTGGTTCATCCTTGGCTGCAAACCAGAGGTGACTAACTATAGCTCCACACCAAAGGGGAGGACAGGAATAACCCACGACCAGCAGATTTTCCATGCCACCAACCTGCATGACGTTGCCGACCACGACGCTGTCGATGATCTCAGGAGGAACCTTGCCCGCAGCCAGCGCAGCCTTGGCTGCATGTTCTGTGAGGTCGGTGGCCGAGAAGTCCTTCAGGAAACCTCCATAGGTCCCAAAGGGAGTGCGCTTGGCTGCCACAATGAACACACCTACAACAGGGGCAGAAGTTATGAGCCACATGTACAGGATCTAATGAAACAAACACCAGCAGGTTGGCCTCAAGTGGACAATCCCCTAAATTCACAGGAAGCTCTGGCAACATGAACTCACATGGTTTGAGATAGATGACACAGCAGAGCTTTAGGCAGGGAAGGTGTGCTTAATTAATGGTAAGAAGGAAAAGCTGAGAATATTCCAGAAACAGAATCATAGAATAGAATCATCGGAGTTGGAAGAGACCTTTGAGATCAAGTATAACCATTAACCTGTCGCTCCACTGCAACCCCTAAACCCTGTCTTCCAGTGTCAGGTCCTGATGCTTCTTAAACACTTCCAGGGATGGTGACCCCACCACCTCCCTGGGCAGCACATTCCATTGCTGACCACCCTCAGTTCAATCACAGGACCATCAAGGTTGGAAGAGATCTCTAAGATCATCGAGTCCAACCATTAACCTGTCTCTCCACTGCAACCCCTAAACCCTGTCTTCCAGTGTCAGGTCCTGATGCTTCTTAAACACTTCCAGGGATGGTGACTCCACCTCTCTGGGCAATATTCCAGTGCCTGAACACCCTAATAGGGAAAACATTTTTTCTAATGTCTACACTGAAAATACCTCCTTTCCACACATAGGTTTGGCAACACCAGGAAGATTCGGACACCGGGTGGACAAAGGGGGTTGCCACACCACATCCGACATTAGTCACAGTGTACTGAAAGCACGTCACTAACATGCACGAAATCCCAGGTGGACACCTGAGAAATAATCAGATGAGGAAGGGTGCTTTTAACAAATAAAGAAGCCATTCCCTCATCTTAGAAGAATCAGCACATTTTCGGTTTATATTCTGAGTTTTCGCAAAGAAAAAAAACCCCAAACAATAAAGCAAAACAAAAAAGAACCCTTTTATATGTATTCTAACTTTGATTCCTTCAGCTTAAGAGGCAAAACATGCCCTAATGAAGAACTCCACGCTACTCCCAGAATTATGTAAGACTTCTAAACTGCTTTAGCAGCAATGTTCCAGTTTCTGAGGAGAAAATCCAGTTTTCAGTAGGCAGGAGAGCATGTACAAGCACATGTGCACAACTGCATCAGCCAGGGGCAGTTGACATGAATTCCAGCTTGGGAGAAGTCACCTCTGAATCAAAGCAAACATCTCCTGACTGTATGTCACAGGGGCTTTCTGCTTCCATGTGCAGAAAAACAAGCGGGTGGCAGGTTGTGAACTTTCCCCCAGTTGAACAACGGCTCTCACACATGCAGTTCCTACAGCTGCCACGAAGCACTCAGCTATTTTAAGAGACGCTGGAAGGACACATACAGATGTAAAAACGAAGGCAAGTGGAAATGCATGTTCACTAAGCTGGCCATGGACACTGATTCCAGGTGGTATGGGCTGTGTTACTTGGATGTTTTCTCAGGGAGGGGGTGCTCCTCCATCTCCCATGTGTCTGGATCCCAGGCTGCATGATTGCTAGGAAAGGACTTTCCATACCGGTGAAGGTCAAGGCTGCCCCACAGGCAAGGACTTGAACATGATATTAGGATCCAAAACAGGCAACAGCTATGCTCAGAACCACAGAATCTATCACAGAACACTTTGAGTTGGAAGGAATCGCAAAACTCAGCTTGTTCCACTCCTAGACACCTTCTCCTAGAACAAGTTGCTCCAAGCCCCATCCACCCTGGCCTGGAACACTTCCAGGGATGGGGCAGCCACAGCTTCTCTGAGCAACCTGTGCCAGTGCCTGATGACCCTCAGAGCCAAGAACTTCTTCCCAACATCAAACTGGATCCTGCCCTCCTAAGTATATCTTCCCTGCAGCAAAATAAGCCTTGACATTCATCCCTCACCACTTCTCCTGTCTGCTGATTCCTATCCCTCCTCCAAGCTGTGCCCACAACAGTCCCAAAGCTTTGCTGCGCACCAGCTCAGGGACCTGACCAAGCTGAAAACACTTGTTCTCCTCCCTGTTGGTTGTCAGTTACCCACATTATTTGTTCCGTCATGTACACTCTGGTGTTGCCTCATGAACAAACAGCCCAGGGGCGAGGATGGAACTTTGCCCTTAAACGTTCCTTTCACAACAACATCATCTCTCTCTCTCTTTCACAGAGGCTGCTCACTGCCGCTCACTTCCCAACAGCACCATGGGGCCAATAAACCAGAGCAGGTCACACAACTGAGGCAGCTGGAGACTAACCTGGAGTCAGCAGAAAAGGAGGGAATAATTTTCACTTGGATCAGTTCTAAGTTCACCTTCTGGCTGCTCAATAAAACAGTAACTCAAGACTAAGAGAGAAGGCTGGACTGAACCAGTAAAATTAAAAGAAGGAAAAGCAGCACAGTCTGTGTTGTGGTGAATTATATTACCACAGAGCCATTCCCTGAGGGTGTTAACTCCAGAGCCTGCTGCATTTCACTTGATTGGAGAGACATCTTGCAAATGCTACTCCCTCCACACAGCTTCAGGAGGGGCAAAAAGTAGTGCCTGAAGCCCTGAGTGAAAAACGACTCTGGTCCTTTGACAGCTCTTTCTAAGCCTCCATTAATTAGTACTGTCCTGTGTTATCACGGCAAGACTTCCAGAGTCTCTGGCCTTTTCCAGGGTGATAAACATTGGATGAGAGCAGAACAGTACCAAATGCATAGAGATCTGGAAACTTTGGGGCCTAGAAAGCAAAGGTCACTCTGACTCCTTACCAAACACTACATTCAAGACACCTTTTAACTTGGTTTTGTAAACCACTTGCTGCCAAATGAGGCTCTGAAACATCCTCCAACCCTCCCACATTTCTCAAATGAGCTTGGTATGAAAACAGTTCTTCATCAGATCCTTTCTGGAAAGCCTAAAAACAATCAATAACATACAAAAAATGAGAAGCAAGAACAGTGCATGAAAATGGTCGTGGTTAGAGCTGAGAGAAGATCCTGCAACAGGCAGAGAAAACTAGTATGGACAAGGTGCTCTCTGTATTATTCAAATCAGAGAAATCACAATTACTGCAACACTGACTACATAGCCTTCGGCACTGAAACCTCTCACCTTATCTGACATGTATATTTTTATTTAGGCACAGTCTGTCAAGCAGCAAAGTGCTTCGAAGAGATAAAAAGCACTATTGCAATAAACTTAAATTTTTTTCCCAAACAAGAGCAGATATTAAAGGGCATATTTTAAATAGATAGGGAAAGTATAAAATGTAGGAATATATCTATTATAGGCATAACATAAATATATATAAAATATATATT